CCTAATTTAGGATCTTCTTTTTAATAAATTCTTGAAAATTTTAAAAGAGAGAAAGGGAGTAGGCATATTGAGTAATCTCTCTGACTTCTTATGGTGAAACTTATCATCAAATAAACGTTATATCTGTTTTCCAATTACTTTTAGGGTGCTTGTAAAAAGAAAGTATATATATTTTTTATTGTTTATACTTATTAAAGAGATGTGAAGTGGCTCTTTATTCTGAAGGAAGAGTTCATAGATGTATTTCAGGAAGTAGGGAGCTTTAATCAATTGGATTTGTATGTTTAATACTGATTGAAATTGACAGAGTAAGTCTAGCAGTTAAATAACAAAAATAGAGTAAATTATTTTTTGAAGTTACAAATTTTTTTCATTAATTAATAGAAAGAATATCTTGTAAAGAACTAAATGTAGTGTTCACAGTATGAGGATGTTAACTACTATTAACTATTGGTTCAATAGAAAACACATTATGGAGTTAGTCGGAACTTGACCAGGCTGAATTGGTGAAAGAGAAACTTGACACATAGGTTAACAGTAGATAAAAATTTAATACTCACATGACAAGCATAAGATAGGGAAATCACCAAACTCAGTCAGTTGATATGTGCACAGAGGTTATCATATTTTTTTTTCTTGTCTGATGGTGCAAATTGAAAAAAAGTGAGAGAATCAACCACTATATACTTATTCCTGTAGGAAAAATATCCCAGAGAACATTTGTTTCCCATATTACCTGGTTAATCTTTTAATAAATATAGGGAGGATAAGATCTTCGGGTATTTCTAAACCTTTATATATGAACTGTTACTACAATACTAAAGAAATTCTTGAGTAGCACCAATCATGGGAAGATCCAGAAATACTAAAGAGAAATGATCTTTGAGAAATGATCATAATGCTTACTATGTACAAGATAAAAAAAAATGGAAATTTAAAAATCTACAAATAGGAATTGTAAAAAAAGTAAGGAAACAAGGCTGGAGATACTATAGACATTATTTCCTCAAACTAAAAACTGCTATTTTGGCTTCCTGTTGTTACTTAGAATTACATTTGGTGGAGTCAAAATAGGGATTTGTAGTTTGAGTGAATAATGTCTGCAGTATCTCCAATCTTGTTTCCTTACGTTTTCATGATTTGCAGGTTTTTAAATTTCCAATTTTTTATTTATCTTGTTTGTTGGCTTTTTTTATGCTCAACTATGGGCAAAGGAT